TTCCAATGATTGTCTTACAAACACATTTCTCTACCTATACAGAAAGAAATATTAAATTAAGCTAAGTATTTTACACGATTGAAACACTGCTTTACATTTTTTAATAAAAGATTTGCCATGTGAAGTCAGAGAAGATACTACTTCATAGTTACCAAAAAAGAAATGATCTACTATCAAGCAATATAAATGTAAAATAATTTAAATAATAGTTTATTATCTAGGAACACAGACTACCCAAGAATTTCAGTCTTTCAAAACTCTGTCTGATCCTTCATAGAAAGGAAAAAAACAGTACACAATGTGGAACTAATCATCTATAAATAAGTAGTTATAATTAAATGTGATAGTTAAATACCATAGAAACATACAAGCACCCTCTTCCTGAAGATGTCTATATACTAAAAAAGTGACAATTAAATAAACTATTCATGACACAGAGTAAAGAATGCATTGTTAAAAAAAAATCTGAATATTTATAACCAAAATAATGTTTATATTATAAAAATATTTGCAAATAATTTTCTTGCATTTATATTTTATGTTTTTCAAATATAACAGCAAGTTCTATGCACATCACATTATCAAACTGAATTAAGATTGCATAAAAATTGAGAGATGGCCTGATCACAAATTTTAACTTTAATACTGACACCCTAATTTAGAAGCTGTAATTTCCAGTGTTAATGAACCATGGAACCAACAGTCATTCGACCTTATAATTCAGCTTCAAAACTCTGTTTCACAGTCTTCAGATTTCTCAATTAGTATTTGCTTTAATAGAAAATAGTCAACAAATAGTTATCACTGCACTTTTGCTATTTCTGAAAAAGTTAAATACTTTTGGATTAAGGATATGGAAAAACATCAAACCAGATGAGGTTGCTGAAAATATAGACGGTTTCATGTTAACAAAATGTGTCATTTCATAAGACACAATAATGTCCAATAAATAAGATTTTAAAAACCAGGAGGTAAAAGAATCACAATCAGCAACTGTGTAGAAGGAAAATAGGATTACATTTATTGGCTACTATATCAACTTAACATCTCATAAAATCCTCCTGATCTATTAAATAACTTCAGAACTGAAGTATGCTCTCCTATGGGAGTTGTAAAACAAATTAGATACAATTACAATTCAATACAAATGAGAAACCAACCTATTTACCCTTAAGATTTCTCTCATTTTATAGCTTTATCATTTAAATTAGATCAGAATTTTCCCTATGTACCAAGTGGGCCACTTGACATAATTATAAATTTTTCTTGAATGCTTTCTATAGAGAAAAATAGTTGATATGAGTAAATTCTGGAAAACTGTGGTAACTACACCTCCCAAAGTGAATACAACAAACATCTGTTCCAAGAATTGCTTGGCTTTCAGACAGTATGTAAAGGGTGTTCTTTTTCCTAGTGTTTCGCGGTGCTTTTTTTTTAAGCTCATTTAAAAATACATGTTTTCACTATCAGTTCTCAAGACATAAAATCTTAAAATTCTGATAAGTTAAACACAGGTCGTTACCAGGTATATTACAGAAAGAAAAAGTAAGTAACATACAAGACTCCACTTGCTTCTGAAAGGGCAAGAAAATAATTGGGCATGTTGCCCTCTGTGGGTTACATAGTAATCTTAACCACTGTCATCATTTCTTAACTCTATGCTCCACAAACATAGCAACACTCACAGTAAGGGAGGGGACTACATATATAACTTCCTTATGATTTTTATTCTTTGGAGTCCCACTGATAATTCAACTTTCTCTTTTGAACTTCACTGGCTTTTAACCACTTCTAAAGTCAACAGTATCCTGATATCTTCATCAAGCAATACGTGTGTCTGTAAAATTTTACTCCAGTGACAGGATAAATTATTGTACACTGTGTGCATTAAACATAGAATGTAGCCGGGCGCAGTGGCTCACGCCTGTAATCCCAGCACTTTGGGAGGCCGAGGCAGGTGGATCACGAAGTCAAGAGATCGAGACCATCCTGGTCAACATGGTGAAACCCCATCTCTACCAAAAATACAAAAAATTAGCTGGGCATGGTGGCGCGTGCCTGTAATCCCAGCTACTCAGGAGGCTGAGGCAGGAGAATCGCCTGAACCCAGGAGGCGGAGGTTGCAGTGAGCCGAGATTGCGCCATTGCACTCCAGCCTGGGTAACAAGAGTGAAACGCCGTCTCAAAAAAAAAAAAAAAAAAAAAACCAAACATAGAATGTAATAATTTCAATGGAGGGAGAAGAAGAATCAATACCCTTTATGACTGATTATATTTTCTAACTACATCAAAGTTCAGTGCTTTTTGGTAAGTTGAATGCATCTTCCTTGATTGTGACAGGTCAGAATTTTGCCTAAAATTCACAAGTATTTTGCAGAGTAAAACAACATCTTTTTAGCATTGAGAAATTCCACAAAACATACACAAATTAGCAGGTGAAAAGGAATAAAAATGCTTATCAGTAATAGGGCACAGGATGTGCAATACCTTTATGAAAGAGAGAATAAAAAGACGACCATTATCTAAATATATTTCTAGTAACGTGTGACTTTGCTCACTTTTCAATCTTCTACTGCCTCTTCCATAATACCAATGCCTGCTCCCAACCATTTTGAGGTTATTGTTTACAAAATGTTTAAGATTCAGTTTCACAACTCCATTTTTATGCTAACAGCAAGGTATTGATTTAATTCTTAAGACATTCCTGAGAGTATTTCAATAAGGCATTTTAATATACTACACAGACAAAGTTCTTTGTCATCAAGAAATGAAAAAAATCTAGGATCTATCTCTTTCTTTTTAGGCCAAACCCAAGTAAGTATGAGCATGTCACTGTGCTTCCATAAACTTTAAGACCTATGTTGGAATTTACCCATGTATCCCGTTAAAGCAGTCTAACGTGTAGACCTGTACCTGTATGGTATATGTTTATTTAATCATGGGGGAAAATGCTTTACTTAAAGCAGTCCTCATATTGGTATTATGCAAATTCCATTACAAGCAAAATTTCTGAAAAAAGTACAAATGGATATAAATTTAAAAAAAAACAAACTCAAAGTCACATATGCTCCACTACACACGTTTAGAATCATTTTCAGATCGTATCTCTGACAACCCTATATTTATAGCCATCAGTCTTACTGAAAGATGAATCATGAAAAGGGGAAAAAAGATATTTGCTCTTTACCTAGGAAAGAGAGCCAGTCAACACACACAAGGAATACTCAGAAGCAATTAATTGCTAAAAGCTTCCTTTATTCAATGTGACCACCTTTCATTCCTATGGAAGGTAACCGTAAGTCATATGTTAGGTTTAAAGATACATTAGTTTCAATTATATGATGTCTAAGGAAAACATATAAACAGGTTCATCAAACTTTAAAAGTAAAAAGAAAAGAAAATCGTTTTTCAGATATTGCAAATAACTTGAATAAAGTGATCTGAAATTATAATGGCACTTATATCTATATGTTGTATCAATAGGTATATGTATTATGTATATGTTACATATACACATGATACTGTCTACATGTAGTAATGCACACATACATATTAACAGATTTTTCATAATGAATAGCTGAATAACAATGCATTCTCAGCAAAGGACCTTATAAACTCCCCATTATGACATACTATTATATCTACTCTACAGGCAGAAAAACCAATGCTGAGAAGTTAAAAGATTTACCTAAGGTCTTGAAAGCACATCAGGAGATACCACCATTATAATGCTGAAGATCTTCACATTAATGACTTTCTGAATAGATTTTTATTGCTATTTTTTTACTTAATTACTTCATATCATAGATAAAGTATTTTTCAAACTATTCTTAAAAAGGTGCTACATAGTTAGGGCTGAATGAAGCAACTAACAAGAGACATGAGCTCTGTCTGTTGAATAATAGGTCCTTGCCTTTTTTTAACCACATTTCTAAAATTTAAATAAAAACTCTATACAGTTCTACTTAGGTGTTGAAACTTCAAAGTAAATTATCCAAATTAATCCTAATAACTTATCATAATAAATTGCACTATTCTCATTTTATAGGTGAGAAGCCAGGCACAGGAATAAGGCTTCCTGCCATGGGTCACACACTAAGTGTGAGGGAGGTCTGGAGTTAGAACATGTTATGTTCTTGGCTCCACATTTAGTTTTCAGACTGAAGGGCAAGATTGTTGTTCATATTAATCATCTTATTCCAAAATCACTTGAGGAAGCACACAATTTTTTGGAGAGGAGAAAACACATCCTGAAAGTTACAAGTATAAAGGAATATATCAAGAGTTCTGATATCACGGTACATAGGTTATGATTCACTATAATCTAAGTTTTAAAAACTATTCACATATCTCATTACTTTAGTACCATGAATCAGAAGCTCTGTAGGCTGAGACACTAATTATTTGCCGAAAATTAGTCTCATGCTTCTATAGGAGAGATATAAGCTAAGAAATAAAATTAATTGAGGAAGATAAACACTGGTTCCATGTTAAAATGTATTTGGTGGCATGGAATTTGCAAGACAAGACATCAGTTTTCAGCCTAGCAGATTACAGAATAGGATCCATTACTCCTAGTCAACACTGAACACTTCAGAGGTACAAGAACATGCTTTTTTGATGGCGAGTAATGCATGGAAATACCCACAATGTGTTCCTAGTAAAGCTGAAGAAGAGAATAAACTAAGTCCACAGGTTAAAACGATATTAAACAACCAGGCCTTTAGCCCCACAAAATAGTTGAAAAATATAACCAGAAATATCTTCTAACCTTTGCTAAATAGCTAGAAAGATATCTGTGCTCTCCAAATAGGGTAAGATATATAAACAAGCACTAAAAGATTGATACAGGTTTCTGCTTCCTACGAAAACTAAGGTTTCATGTTGAAAATAGCATAACCAGCATATTTCCAATTACATGCATTTTTCCAGGTTCCAATGTGGCAGCAAAAGTACAACAAGCAAGGGAGACAAAGAGTTGTCATGTTAATGAGACATACCTCTTGTACTGAGCGAGCTGCTGGCTTGTCTTGATGATTGGCCAATATTAAAAAGGGTAAAGTGCATAACTGTGGATGCTGAAGAGCTGAGTGCAGCTCATTTCTAGCAGCTTCTAAATCATCCTCTGAAGAGGCACTGTCTAATACAAATATTACCCCTTGAGATCCTTGGTAGTAGCGGCTCCAGTATTTCCGGATATTATCAGCCCCTGTCAAAAACAAAACAAATTCTCGTTTTAAAAAGAGCTTTCAGCAACTGAAAAATGTTCCCAACAGTAACCCCTACTGGAAACCAATGTATCTTTTAAAAATTAAGTGCTAAACTCTGTGGTATGGAGTAGAAAAGGAATTTAGGAAGGCAGAGATAACAGTGGATGGGAACAAAGAAGGCAGTAGAGCCAATAGGTGGATTTGGCCTTGAAGGAAGTTACAAAATCTAAGTCATTCTTAATGACTTTTATATAAAAATGTATGTGAGAGAAGCAGAATAAATACTTCCTAGACTTAAACTCAAAAGAATATTTTCAGACATTAATAGTCTCAAATGAACTACACTCTCTACAAACTGAGTCTAAACGTGGCTCAGAGAGCTGCATGACCTAGACGTCCACCAAGGATTCTTCCCAAACTATTGAACTTCATGATACTTTCTTTTTAACAGAACTGCTTGCTATTCAGGACAGTCTTGTTTAATTTCACCTAGAGAGTTATTAGCACAATAGCCCTATGTGTCAAAGTGCTAAAGTTTGTGAAACACTAAAATCATGGCCTTTGATACATTTGTATGAATCTGTTTGGCTTTATAACTCATGAGGAAAAATAACAGAGGAGTGTGCGCTCATGGTCTCCATGAGATAAGATGTTTATTAAAAAAAAACACACACGGAGAGGCCGGGCATGGTGGCTCATACCTGTAATCTCAGCACTTTGGGAGGCCAAGGCAGGTGGATCACCTGAGTTCAGGAGTTCAAGACTAGCTGGCCAACATGGTAAAACCTCATCTCTACTAAAAATACAAAAATCAGCTGGGATTGGTGGCGGGTGCCTGTAATCCCAGCTACTTGAGAGGCTAAGGCTGAGGCAGAAGAATTGCTTGAACCCAAGAGGCGAAGGATGCAGTGAGGCAAGATCATGCCACTGCACTGCAGCCTGGGTGACAGAATAAGGCTCCATCTCAAAAAACAAAAAAACAAAGAAACAAACAAAACACATGGAGACTCTCATCAGCCAAGGTATGCCATGATGTCCTGTCTCATTTCTTTCTGTATTACCATCATACAGCACAACATCTAACTCAAAGTTCAATACAGGAATGAGAAAAATTGAATACATGAGGGAATAAAATTACATACTAATTAAGCTTTACAGATTTGAAACTAGAACAAACTCTAGAGATTCTTTAGTCCAACTCTCTGAGGAAACGGAAGCAGAGAGAGGTAAGTGTCATGTGTCTAGTAAATAAAAAACTGGGATTTGCATGAGTCAGTAGACAACCTGCCCAGGGAAGGTGCAGGCACTTCCCTTTACATCATGGTGAATGCTTTCATCACTTTCATTCAAGAACAGGATGAGCAATATGTATGCGTGGGGAGGAAAGAGGTGCTACTGGTTACATAACAACAATTAGATTTCAAGGAATTTCACCAATTGATTGCATATGATCAAGTTCTAACCAGTTAATAACTGTATGTTAGTCATTCACTGAACATCCAGTTCTTATGTTTGACATATTGTGTTAAGTGTAGGGAAACAGCAGCGACTGGAGTTGGTGTGCCAGAGCTGGCAAAGGACACCTGTTTGCTTTGTGTTCAGTGACATCTTGTTGGTAGCTTCAAATCAACCAGGTTGAGAGTAATGTCACTATGGAAATCAGCAAATCCTACATCTCGAGTCTTTTCCATACCCAGAGAGCCAACACACCACTGATCACACTGAATAGCTCATATTTTCTGGGAGAAATAGAAAACTCTAAGATTATAATAGAGTATGATAAAGTACTGTCATAGAGGTATTAATTAGTCCTCTGGGAGCAAGACATAGATACGCATTTTACCCAAAGTGTGGCAATTCTTTTTTAATTTCATTTTTAAAATTTGAGATGGGTTCTCACTATGTTGCTCCAGGCTAGATTCAAGACTCAAGTGATTCTTCTGCTTCACCTCTTGAGTAGCTGGGACTAAAGGTACATGCCACTGTGCCCAGGAGGCAAATCTCTTGAAAGAATAACATCAGTAGCCAAACAGCTCCCATTTATTAAGCACTTCCTATCTTCTAGGTACTGTTTTAAGAAGAAAAGCTCATATAATTTTTACAATAATCTAAGGAGAGAAGTATAATTGACTAAGGCTTTGAAACTAATTTTCAGTTCTTAAAATCTATGATTTCACTACTATACTATATGAAAATAACTAGGTATATATTTAATAAGAGGATCAAGGACATTTGATGTTAAATATGTGAAGACATGTGATAGGAACAGAGTTGATGTTTATCATGCAGGGTCCAACCAAGAAATCAAAACAAAAATAAAGAAATTTAAGCCAGAGATTATTTAACACAGAGAGTTAGTTGCTTAAGTGATGGTGGAACTAAGAAAACAGCAGGGGTACTGAGATAAGCAAAATCTCAGGTCAGATTCCCTAGACACAGAGCTTGAGGTGGCATTTCTAGTATACCTGATTTAGAGGAAGTGCTGTCAGGATAAACTAGAAGTGAAAGAAGTAAGCTAGAATGGAAGGAAACTAGGCAAAGATATTGTTTCAGAAATCTAGCTTCAGCTTGACGCCATGAGGAACTCTAGAGCATGGATTGAACCACAGAAGTTGTCTAGTCCAAAGGCAAGGGGGCTGGGCTATAACACCCTTGTATAGTCATTGGCTATGAGCCACCCCTGGGGAACAGGAGGGGGTTGGGGCCTGATCTCTTATCTCCCAAACATATTTGGTTGGGGCAATTACTGTCAGCCAAGGGCAGGCCTCTGGAGAAGGGTACAGGTGTGGGTCATTAGCAGCCAATACCCACAGCAGCTGGGAGATGGATGCACTGACCCAGCAAAGGAGATCTGGGTAGGATACCAACAGCATCTGCTAAAAGCTACATCCAGACACTATCCATATGCTCGAGAACCATCCATAAGCTGGAGGGACAAAAGAGGAGGCAGCGATACCCGGTGGTAAGTGTTTAAAATGACACAAATAGTGTGCATGTGTATCTGTACACAAGCTTATTATAAATTTCACTGACATAAAGGATGTGCAGCACACAGTTTTCATAATAAACTAAATGCAGTATGCTGTTCTGTAAATTCCACCTAGTGAACTAACGCTCACAGAATGCTTTGTTGAGTTTGTATCCATAGCCAACTAATGGCTGCAACTGACCAACTAGTGTAGTTCTGACAGGAAAGGTGGCTGCTCTAAGTGTTTTACATATATTAAATCATTTACCCATGACAGTCGAATGAGGTAAATACCGTTAACACTCCCATTTTATCAATAGGGAAACCAAAACACAAAAAGATTATGTAACTTGTCCAAGGTTACACACTTAATAAATACATTTAGGTCTAATGTGATTGAAATAGAGATCATGGACTAAAAAGGCAATGAGGCTAAATAAAGAACTATATTACCACATAAGCTAGGAGAAAAGAAATGGAACCCTACTGGAACAAAAGGTAAGTAAATGCCTACATACATTAATGGAGGCATGTCCAAAAACATTTCCCAACCAGTTAATTCAATGGATAGTTATTAAGTACCCATTTCATCCATACAAGTCTCTGAACTAGGACCTAAAGAGATATTTAGAAAGCCATTATTCCTCTTAGCTGAAACCATCAAATCCTATAAAGTAATACTAATTACAGTAAGGCCTGCAAACATAGCAGGCAGAGCAAATATGTCCACACATCAGATGGTGTCCAGGGAGTCAAGTATAAAGAGAATAATTTGGTTGCATGTTTTAATAGAGCTTGTCCCTTGGAAACACACAGGACACCTGGAAATTCAACTCCTGCAGTCAACTCTTTCAAAGAGAAACTATATTTTCATATGCCACATTTGGGAGTACATATGTTGCCTGAAAATAGTGAGACAAAATGACAATAAGTTCAATGACAATCTTGGTAGACCAAAAAAACCCAAAAAGAAAAACCATAACTTTAAAAAATGTCCCTTATATGACATAATGTATGAATAACATATTAATAGTGAAAAGACCCTTTCTTTAATCTCTTGCTACAGTCATGTGCCCAATCTTAGGATTCCTAACTTTCATCATCAACACTGAGCTTGGAATTCTAAATTCCCATGTTGTCTTCTGCACATGGCTTTAGTCAGCAGCAACCTAACCCATACTGGGGCCAGGGCACTTCACCAGCAACAGGGTGAAGAGTGGAATATGGTTGCTCAGTCCAGTTTAGTGGCCATGGTTTAGTCACCAGATTAAAATAAGAAATGGCTGTGCCATCAACCCAGCTGCTAGATGCTTTGAGGAGTGAGCCTAACTGGGAAGGTTAGGAACAACTGTCTGATGCCCACATTCTCAAACCCCAAACCAAATACAAAAGAAGTAACTGACACAGGAAGTGACACCTTATAGCAGGCTAAGGCCACTCTTAGTCTAGTATCTGAAAGTGTCATGCTTGTGACACTTAAATTACAATCGCAACTTAATATGGTTAAATATCAAACTCAAACCTGGTCTATGGTTTGTATATTTAGATTAAAAAGCAAATGGGTAGTCCTAACAGTAGAGGGACTGGGTGAAAGGTGTCGCCAAATGTTCTAGTCCACTGTTCCCTCACTACAAGTTGTAATAAACACTGGGGAATCTAAGAGCTAATCAGGAGGGCCAACCAGGAGAGTCTGGCTCAAGGTATAAGAGCAGAGGGAGAAGACAGGAGCATAACAAGTCTTCATTGTGTAAATTCATTTCTGTGACATGCTACAGATGTTAACAACATCCTCTCATGATTCATTAATACATCCATCCAACTGATATTTACTGAGCACCTGGCACCATCCTAGGTGCTGAGAAAACAGCAGGAAACAAAACAAAGAGTTGGAAACAAAACAAAACTTTCAGTCTTTATACTGCTCAGAGTAAAGCCAGCCTATCATTATAGAGGTTAAAAATGCCAGGCACGGTGGCTCACGCCTGTAATCCCAGCACTTCAAGAGGCCAAGGCAGGTGGATCATGAGGTCA